GATCCTGTGTACCACGCCAGTTCCCTGTGTACCACATCTCATTGCTGTGTACCATGCGTCGGTGCTGTGTACCACACGTCATCTCTCACGGCGTACCATGCCTTGCTGCTGTGTACTGCACCATGTCACTGTGAAACCAGGGCACGTTGCTGTGTATCGTGTTTCGTCACTCTGGGATCCTATTTTTGTCTGGCCTGGGGAGCTCCCGGACCTGGGTTTGCTCTGCACTTTTAATGACCGGCTGGCCTGGAATAGCTGGTGAAGTCGGTGAGATGAAATCAGTTGCGATACACCAGCAGGCAGAGGCCTCCGCACAAAGCAACTGAGGTCAAGCTGACTCTGGGGTTAGATCTGACTGAACTTGGGCAAAAACTGATCCATAAACAACATGCAAAGCGTTGATAGATGTTGATCTCTTTGAAAACAAATTGGTTAAAAAGATCGAGAGAAAATCGCCATGATGTCTGTGACACTGATACCTCACTGCAGAAGGCACAGCAAAATTAACCGGGGAAAAAAAACCAACATGGACGCCCCCACATCCTCATTCATGACCAAGTCTTGCCACATAACCGAGGTCACATGACCGCCCATGTGACCCCCCAGGCCCACACTCCCCCTCCCCAAATGTCCATCGAGCTACTTCACTCACTTAAATTCCAGCTGTGAGCCGCTGTCCCAGAGCTGCTCCGACAGAGCTGGTCACCCAGCGTTGCTATCGACCCGACGCGGACGCTCTCTATGACCACCCGTCAGGGAGACAGCGTCGTGGCGGCGAGAGGGGCGTGGCCACGTCGGTGGGTAATTATAATAAGGAGGCAAAGGCAGAGTCATAACAGGAAGCCTTTCTACAGGGCTGTAATTAATTATCATCCGTTACTCTACTAAATTATTCTGCCATTCATAACATATTTATACTTTCAAGATTAATTTCAGGAAGAAAATTACAGCTCATCAAAAAAAGAGGAGGAGGGAACTTTGATATGAGTGATCAAAAAGCAGGGTGTCGGCGTGGCACTGCAGCGACGCCTCTCTCCACATGTACAGGGTCACGTGCCAAAGTGCCGCGTTCCGGCCGGGTGCTAGAGACTGCGTCTGCCGGGAACCTGCTAATATAGCCGGAAGTTTCCTCAGCGACCGCCAGCCTGAGGTTCCTCACGAGATGCGAGTCAGAAACATTTGGGCTGTGACTCAAGTGTTTTTTCCTTCTTTTAAGAGAGAGCACTGCTCCAGCTGCCGGCATGCACGGAGGTGCAGAGGCCAAGAGGCTGCCTCCTGTGAGGCTGCCTCCTGTGAGGCTGCCTCCTGTGAGGCTGCCTCCTGTGAGGCTGCCTCCTGTGAGGCTGCCTCCTGTGAGCGCCGAGGAAACGGGATGAAAACTGCCAAGAGGGGTGCAAAGTGGAGGCTAAAAATGATAATTAAGTAGCAGTAGAAATAATACAACTACTACTACTATTATTATAATTATTATTATTAAGCATTAATAATAATAACCGTAATATAAAAATAATAATAAGCCAGTTTGTATGTTTTCCAAACACTCTTACGGGCTGCCAATTCCTGCAAGGTGTGAAAGGCCCCCCCCCCTTTTAAAAATCCCACTCAAAAGGCAGAACTACTTGCAAACCAGCTCCGCTCCAGGGCAACAGCAGCACCGGCGAAGCTTTCCCACAATGCACTGTGGGTCACAAGTCAAGGTGCATCCTGGCGTGACGAGCGCTACCTCGCCAAAAAAGATGCCACAGACCCGACACCCGTCCAGCGAACGCGGGTAATTAATGGGCATTTGCGGCTTTGCCGTTTAGTCAGCGCGATTCCACCTTTCGGGATAATAATGAGGATATCATTTCCGAGCACCAGGGGTTAATGGGATGTAACCAGCGGAGCCGCTAATTACACGTTACTAACTATTTATCAGGATCCCATCCGCACGGCGCCGCGGCTCGCATTGTGCACGCTAAATTACTTCTCAGATTATCTTTGTAAAGCAACTTTCTGTAATTAGAGGCCCATGCTGCTGTTTTCTTTCCTGCTAGTGCCAACAGACACACCGAAAAGAGAAAAGGAAGAAAGAAAGAAACAGATGACTAGCTAATTTCGGCCTGACAGAGCAGCGCCGCGGGGGAAAACATCTCATCTCCAGGAGAGAGACGAAGCCCGCGGTTTGGAGACCGCCCCCCCTGCACATGCATATGAAAGCGCTATTGCTATTTTTT